ACTTGTATCCATAAATATTTATGGCAATTTATCCTCAAAATTCCCATGTGCTCAGGGCTTTATATACACATTCAGCACAAAGGGAATTCAGGATGCATATCTGAGGGCACAATGGTTTGAGTAATCAATTCTGTATTCCCTTCAAAGAGCTAGAGCACCGTTTAATTGAATCCTCTGCTTTGTATCAAAATGCTAGTAATGTATACAGAAACATATAGCAAGCACTTCTTGCTGAAGGCTTGCCATGTCTGTTTTATTGTATCTTCTGCTTTCTTTCAGGCCCTAAAATACCACCTGCCACTCCAGACTTGTGACAGCTGTGAGAGTCCTGATGAAATTTTCAAATAATACTTCATATTATTTTGAAGTTTATGAAATGCTATATATTAGATGTAAATAAATTATGCCTGAGTCTTTCATTTTGCCTTCTGCTCCTTGATATATTACAGTTTATAGATTCCAACTCTTCTAGTCCCTAAACTGAAGGAGTAGAAGTTTTCTCTTTATCCATGATGGCTGTGAAGTTTGTGTAATGCTGTGACTCCAGGAACAGAGACTCTCAAGAGAAAATGTAGATTATCAAGAAATTTAAAAGAAAATTGTTCTAACTGCAATATTCATCAAGTTGCATCTGAATGGGTTCTTTACATCTAGCTGTACAGTTATTGTTTCACAGTTTAGTTTTAATTTTTCAAGACAGTTATTAATAACTGATCATTTTTCTGCATTTATTGTATAATTCAGATATTTTCAAAGAAAAATCAGCTTGGACTAGTGAACCCTTTTAAACTCTTAATGGAAATGTAAACTCCCACTCACCAATCTATGTCATTATCTGTGCCAAAGCTGCTATATGTAATTGGCTGGGGCAGGATAGCTCACAAAACTGTTATTCCTTGTTAACGTCTTGTTAACAGAGCACTGTTTAAGTGAAGCCTTGGTTAATACACTCACTACCAGGCTTCTGTATTTTGCAGAAGCACAGCATGTTGCTGTATACGTTGTATTCCCATTTCAGATAAAAAGGGAAAACAACTCTTTTCTTTATGAGCAATAAGCTAATGCCAGTAGAGCAGAGAAAAGAAATCTCTCTAATCCTCATGGATGGCTCTTTTGTTCTAGATACTTTTGTGTACTTAGACACAAGGGTGAACAAAAATACAGTGAAATTTTCATGACTGATGGAATCTAGAAGGATTATTTCTATCACTAAGTCAGATTCAAAGAAAGTAACCAAAGAAAAGCTTTTCAATACATTGATATCTTCGATATGTGAAATCAGTGGAAGTGTTGCTTAAATACTGATTGTGTTACATGGTTTAGAAATAGGGTTAAAATCATTTATATGAGAAATATATAAATTATAACTCTTATAAAAACAGAATTCATAAACCATAAATTTCCTATGCTTTCAATTTTTTTTTCTGCTGAAGACACTGAAATGCTAGAGTTTCACACAGACTAGAATATTCCATAAAACCTCTATTTGAAACACTTTTATATAAAATTTTCAGATGGCAAAATTAATTTCTCTAATCCAAATTTACTGTTTAAAAATCTACAACTTTCCTTAAAAAGGAGAGAGATAATTAGTAAAAACTCCTGATATATTGAAGCAAACTGACTTTAGATCACTAGAATATGTGATCTTAAATTCCATTTAACTGCAGTATAAACAATTCATTATTCAGCAACACTGAGATTCAGGAGCACTTGGGGACACTGTAATTGGCTGCTGTGCTTGCAGTGAGCTGGGGGAATATTTTTTAAAGAACCTGAATAAACTAGTCTAATCTGCTTAGAATATGAGCCTTACTATTGAAAACCACTTCACTCTCCTTGACAAGCAGCCAGTGGCTTTTCTGTGAGTTATCAAGTCTCCTAGACTCCTCATCTTTCAGGATCTGGGAATTCACTTGGGCTGTGCCAGAGATAGTTTGTCTGAAAGTTTGTGATAGAGATTTAATATCTCATGAGTGCCAGAAGAAAGCACATACACAGAACCACCAACTCATCATTCAATAAATCTCCTGTTGTTCTTTACTAGTTTGGTTTTGCTGAGTTCTATGGATTTTATTTCCAAAGAAATGCATCAGCAGCAGTGCTGGAAAAACATACCTGTTTCTTCCACCAGGAAAAAACAGAAAGAGACAGGATAGATAGGAATAGGTGGCAATATGAAACACACAGAACAAGAGGAAAAAACAGATTCTTATACTTGAATTTCTGATGTAAATTAATGACCATCATAATTGGCTACTAATCAAAGAATTTCTTTCACTAAGAGAGGTAGAGGCACAGACCTGTTTAGAGTGAGGCCTGGGCTATTTTTAAAACCTTACTAAGATCTTTCTTACTGGGAATGTCATTTTACTTTTGGTATCACCTCTTTTTCCTTTATCTACTTTGAGTTTGCTTTGACTTTGCAGACTAAGCTGTTTGCAGCAGGGACAGCCTGTTTTTGTTTGTATTTGCAGTTTACAACACAGGGAATCCCCAGGATTGACTGGGACAGCTCAGGATCTGCAGAGACATAAACAAAATCATTTAAAATACATTTTTTTTGCTTTTCTAAGTGTATGAAAGTGTTAGCTTACACACACACACAAATGGTCACACATTTGCTGCATCTTACTATAGCTCAAAATGCTCTCAACCCTTCAAACCAGAGAGAAGTTATTAGCTGTTTGCTTGCACAACATTGAAGCTATCACAAGCCCAAACTTTGATTTCTATGACTGCATGCAGCTGGGCAGATAAAAACCAAAAAATCAGAGTTCAGCAAAACACTGCCCATTTGTTCCAGTGGAAGTGAAAGAGGATAAAGATGATGTCAGACCCCCAGATCCCTTCCCCTCTCAGCCCCATGGAAGATCATCTCCAGAAACTCCAACAAGAGTAACAAGAGGGGCAAGAGTGCAAGTATAGAAACAATAGACTTTTCTTACAAAAAAAAAAGTAACAGTCCTGCTGAACCACCTTACTCAGAACTTCCAGAAAGGAACGTGATTGATAACAAATGATGTCCATAAACCAAATGAATTTGCTGCTTCAGATGTTCCCACTGGTTTACATTTGGAATCTCAGTGGCAGCCAGTGAGCCTGGCAGGTTATCAAAGTGGTGCCTTTTGTGAGGAGCAGCAGCCATGCTCACAGTGCCTACGGGAAGCACAGCTGTCATGCCAATAAAATTATTCATATACTGGGCAACAGAAGGGCACTCTCTAGCCTGCCTGTGATCTTTTAATTCCATCTTGCAAAGGTTAAAGGGACAGGATGAGATACTACAACTTTTTAGACATCCAGTTCCCTTTCTTTCTCTGATTCTTATTCTCTGCTGTACTGATAAGATCTTGGTAAAAGGCAACGAGAAGTAGGTTTACTGTAACCTCAGCAGGTCTGGTCATTTAGAGAGGCTACCATTCATTATGAATGGAAATGACAAGGCGTGACAGAAATTCAAAGGCAGCCTTCACAATTCTGTCAAGGAGAGGTAGTATCAAATGAATATATCCATTAGTACACTGTGCTTAGCTTTATGCAGACCCAAGGCCTGGAAGTTTCATGATAAACAATTTCTGTATTTGTTAATGCAAGGTATTTTTCCTTAAGTAAAAAAGTAAAAGTTCTTCACAAAGCAGATTAACTTAGATCTTAAAGGCAGGTGGGGTGAAGGAGGTGCCATGTATATTTTACTAGCCTTTCTCCTTTTAAAATGGATTTACTTTCCAAGAAAATACATTTCATTGCAGATATACATATTTTCCAGAAGGGTTCCAATATAATGAGAATTAATATATTTCATAAAGTTCAGAAAATAATATTATTGAAATAGTGAGGAACTCAGGTCCATAGCCCACAGCTCTGGTCAGTTTAGGTGTCTTTCAGCAGTGTATTTGAATTATTTGGACTCACTTGGGCATTTACATCTTAGCTTCTAACTCCAAGGTGCCATTTTGGCCAAAGGAAAGAAGCAGGCAATTATAGGACACAGTTATCTTGCTCAAGATAGAAATCTAAAATACATCAGACAAAACTGTGTGTTGCTTTTTCCCATGATCTCTAAAGGGATCTTGAGATTCTAAATCTATATACTAAAAAATGGAAAATGTCATCATAAAATCATTAGTTTATCTGCTGGAAAGAAGGTCTCTGGAGAAGGACCTGGGGGTCCTGGTGGGCAACAAGCCATCCATGAGCCAGCAGTGTGTCCTGTGGCCAAGGAGGCCGATGGAATCCTGGGGTACATTAGGAACAGCACTGCCAGCAGGTTGAGGGAGGTGATCCTGCCCCTCTACTCAGCACAGAACTTTGACTAATTTGAAGTGAGCAGGTTATTTCCATTTACTTCTGCCACATTCACAAAAATAAGCTAAAAGCTCCAATGTTTGTCCTGTAGCATGGATCAGAGAGCCAACATTTGCAGTGAAATTGAACTTTGGACACTAAAAGTGCTTCTTGATTAAATGCACAAAAGTTTCATAGAGATGGGTAGGTTTTATCCACCAGTGAAATTAAACACCTCAAGAGAGGAACATGGAAACTGCCTAATAATTCACAGTTACACTCTAGAATAATGTAAGACAAATTCCAATGATGTGAATGTTTCACTGGCCTAAAATTAGCTGGCTGCTTTTGTTTCTCCAGGCTTATCAGTTTCTGCCTTAGATTTTATGAAAAAATTAGTGAGTGATCAGCTTCCTTCCAGTCCCACCACATCCCTTAATAATCTTCAGAGGCCTTTCCCTTTTTCAGTACAGAATCAGAGAGAAGAGACTGTGGTGTTCCGACCCTGGCTGGATTCCAGATGCTCACCTAAGCCACTGTATCACTTCCTTCCTTTACTGGACAGGAGAGAGAAAATAAAACAGGAGGTTCATGAGTTGAGATAGGGACAGGGAAAGATCACTCACCAGTTGCCACCATGGGCAAAGCAGATTCTACTTAGGAAGTTTGATTGAACTTATTAAAAACCAAAATTAGAGCAGGGTAATAAGCAAGACAAATCTGAAAAACACCTTCCCCCAACCCCTCCCTCCTTCACAGGCTCTACATCCTCCCTGCAGTGGCACAGGTCAGTGGGGAATGGGGTTTAGCTCATTGCGTTGTTTCTGCTGCTACTCAGGGATTAGAAGTGAGATCCCTCCCACAGGAGACAGCCTTCCATGAACTTCTCTAACTTCTCTAACACTTCTCTTCTTCCCAAATGCTGCAGTTCTTAACAAAGTGCTTCAAAGTGTGTGGGTCCCTTCCATGGGATGCAGAGCTCCTGGAGCAGGCTGCTCCAGCGCAGGGCCCCCATGGGGTCACAAGTCTTGCCAGAAAACCAGCTCTAGTGTGGGCTCCTCACACCACAGGTCCCAGATCCTGCCAGGAGTCTGCTCCAGCACAAGCTTCCCACACAGTCATAGATCTCTTTTGGGCATCCACTGGTCCCAGTGTGGGGCTCCTTCACAGGCTGCAGGTGAGTCTCTTCTCCCCCACCATCCTCCAAGAGCTTCAGGGGAGTCTCTCTGTTCCTGCACTTGAAGCACCTTCTCCCTCTCCTTCTCCACTGACTTTGGTGTCTACAGGGCTGTTTCTCCCACATATTCTCACTCCTCTCTTCTCTGGCCACAATTACTTCTACTACTAATTTTCCTTTTTTTACCTTCCTAAATAAATATGTTACCACAGAGGCTGATTGGCTCAGCCTTGGCCAGTGGCTGGTCCCTCTTAAAGCTGGCTATTGACTCTGTCTGACATCAAGGGAGATTCCAGCAGCTTCTCACAGAAGCCACTCCTGTAGCTCCTCCCCTGCTACCAGAACCATGCCATGAAAATGCAGTGCAGAACTATAGATAAAATGTGGAAACAATCATAAGCTAAGACCCTTTAATCTCAGCAAATTTGGGAATAAATTTGGGAGTACAGGTTATAGTCTCAAGTTCTAATAACTCCTAGTTTATCAAGCAGCAGCCTCAGACAGCATTACAAACTGCTATGTTCAAATAATTAATGCAAATTTATCACATTCATAATTATCAGAGGATCAGGATAATAAGATTTGATTAATTAACAAGGACTTATCCAACACAAACTAGACAGGAACAATATTTATATGTACCTTTGCTTTTTCTCATCTCCAGCTTTTTTTTCACTTCTGAGGTGCAAATTGTTCTTCCAAGTAAAGACCTACAACCCAGATGGATAAACACAGTATAAGATTAATTTGGTACAAATCAGGTTTTACTTGCATGAAACAGTGGTGAAATTCAAACTCCCTGGTCACTTACTGCTTCAACAAAACATATTTTTTACTTCAAAATAAGAGAGTCAAGAGTGTGACTATCCTTCATTCTCTCTTAGGCATAGAAGATCTCTGCCAATTTTTATTCCCTCATTTGAGAAAACCTACAGGCTGCAGAGAATTCACAGGGGTGCAATAAGTGTCATCAGAGGCTTAGAGATCATGGTCTATGGGAAACACCGAGTGAGCTCAGCTCTACTTGTCAAGTCAGAGACAGAGAGATTGAGGAGAGACCTGCTTAAAGTTTGGCACAGAGAGGAAACAAATAAACCTTTTTTAATCATAGATAGAAGACAAGTAAAGATCCCAGGCTATAAGAGGGGAGAGCCAAATTAAACATTTTCAAAGTAATGATAATCACCTGCTGAAATAAATAGGTTGTCTGGGAAAGTTGTGGAGTATCCATCTTCTTCCTTGAAGAATAGGCTGGACAAACATCTGCCAGGCATCATATAGAGACATTCTGCCCATGCAGACATATCATACTTCTGAATGGCAACTTCATACTTTCAGCCATAAAATAATAGTTTTTAGTTTCTTAAGGTTGTTTTTAAAATTGTCCTACTCCAGATAACTGAGACGAGTGAGGCTTGCTGTAACAATCACTAGTTTGGATTTAAAAAGTGAGACAAGGAAAGAATCTTTCTTGAGAATTCTTCAGCTCTGTTTTAATAACCCTTGTCCTCATCCTATCACAGTCATGACAGTGAGAAACCCCCAGAAGCCAAACTGTGGAGCTTCTGAAACATCAGGTGCTGTTCACACACATATGCACAAGCACACAATCAATCTACTAGAACAGATTTAATTGAAAATGAGCTTTATGGCCATCTTCCTCTGATTTAATTGGAAATGTGCAAACAAACGTGGATGTTGGGCCAAGTTTTCATTTGCACTGATAGTTTTGCTTTCTTCCTAAAAGGATGCCTTAAGAAGTTGGTAAAGAGAAATTGCTGTCTTTTAATATTGACAAAGTTAAGAAAATGGGCCATTACGCAAATAGGAATTGAGTATATTTAGTATTTTGGCTAGATTTGTATGTTCACAATAGTGCTTTTCTACTGTTTTGGTGCTATAAGGAACTTCAGGTGAGTATTAATGAAGTGTAATTGCACTTTGCAACACTGCCCACACAAAGAGACCTTAAAGGAATCCCAGTGTAAATGAGAATCTTGGCAACTGTCACTAAACTGTGTTGGCTTAATTGTAATGTGGTTCCTCAGAAACATTTTAATCTTTTGAAAAAGGCAGAGGAATTTTAGTGAAAATAGGATTTTAAACTGTTCTTGGTAGTAGGGTAGAAACAGTATTGAATGAAGAGTCCCTACCCTGGAAGCCTCTGTTTCCTGGGATTTGCAGCCCACTGGTGATGATCTGTTTCTGAATCCTTTCCTGTCACCAAGGTCAGGCTGACTGGCCTACAGTGCCATAGATTCTCCTTCTGATCCTTCTTGTCAATGGGTGTCATCTCCAGTCTGGGACATCCCTGGTTAGCCAGGTAAATGACAGAAGATGGCTGGGTGAGCCCTTCCAGCAGCTTCCTCAGCAGCCTTGGGTGGATCCCATCCATCCCTTAAGACTCATGAGTGTCTAATTGGCATAGCAAGTCACTCACTGTTTCCCCTTGGATTATGGAGGCTTCATTGTGCTTCCCAACCTGTTCTCCAGCTCAGGAGGCAAAGAAGACATTATATACCTCTACCTTTTCCTCACCATGGTTCACTATGTTTCCTCCAACATCCAAATGGAAATTCTTCTTAGCCCTCCTTTCTTTGTTCTTTCATGTTTCTTTCCTGATGGGGAAAAAAGGTAATTTACACACCAGCCTCCATGCAAGCAAACAGTTCTTTACATGAAATCTTAAAATACTAATTTATTTGTTTTTTTCTTATACAGGTACATGTCCACCAACTCAGATGATTTCGGAATTTGTCTTCAGGGAATAAAGCTAATAAAAGCAGAGCAGAGCATGCATTGGCTAGCCCTAGAGAAAGTTCATCCTGGGAAGTCAAAAGGAACTCTAATAGTGCATCTGATTCTCAGTGATTCTTGAAAGTGTTTTACAATCTAAAAAGCATGGAGGATGTATTCAAAGGCATAAACACGAATCAGGAACCAAGCCTCCATTAAGAGTCATCAAGAGTCTGACACCCAGCTACCATTTGTTCCTTTGAAAATCTCTTCCTGCATCAATTACACTTACTTCCACTTCAGAGCTGCAGCTCACAGCCAGAGTGGCATAAAATATCCTAAAGAAAATGAGCACCAGCCTGAGTGGGAAAAAGGAGAGCAAGTGGTGATCTACAGAGCTCACATAGCCAGAAAACACCTAGCTAACTAGGGTGCAGCCTGGGAAGCAGCAGGAGAAAGCAAGGGGCAGGACTGGAAGAAAGATAATGAAGAGAAAGCCGAACTAGAAAGACCTTTCAGCTGAAGATGAGTGGTGGGTACCTAATGAGTGAGAACAAGAAAGATAAAAGTGATGCTGGCAGTGGGAAGAATGGATGGATCATTACAAATGGCTCTATTTTCTCTCTCCTGTCCAGCTGGGGAGGAGAGTGATAGAGAGGCTTTGGTTGGTAGCATCCAGCCAGGGTCTATCCACTACTCCATATAAAGCATTTGTCCCAACTTCAGCCCACCAACACTCTACTTTGTATCTTGACACCAAAACCACCTCTTTCTTCTTTCCTTTCTTTTCATTTATTTTAGTGTCTGTTTTTGTTGTGTAGCAACTGTGGCACTGAAGACACAGTAATTGGGTGTCTTTAGTTTCACAAAGACTCTGACGTGACTTCCCATGGTGCCACAGCCACTCTGTTAAGTGGGAAGGCCCCAGAAGGCTGATACTTTAAAAAATAAAATTGTATTTTGAAAAACAGAGAAGAAAAATTTGAGGGTTCAGAGGAAGAGGAGGATGAAAAAGAGAAAGACTGGGAAGAAAAGAGCAGAGAGAGGTGGAGGATCATCACCAGATTTCTAGTCTGACATTTTCCCTGTACCTCCATGCATAGAGCATTTAAATGACTGCTCTTGTTTGGCAATTCCAAAACCATTTTAGACTTGTTGAATTCTGAGAGAAAAAAAGATATTTTGCATAGATGCCAGTTCCAGGAATTCTGTACAAAGTCAAAAAGGGCATTTCCTCAAAATGCTGAGGCTGCAAGAAACAAATCAAACTGCAAAGGTTTATTGCACAGAAGGAGGAGCACATAAGGTGGATCTTTAATAAGTAGAGGATTTATTTTATTTTATTTTATTTTATTTTATTTTAAAAGGGTTTTTCAAAAGAAAAATAACAACATATCAGAATTTTTTACCTAGGAATCCATAGACAGAGTACAGACCCCAAAGCAATATATTTTCCTTAACACTAATGTAAAACTATGATCATTCAGATAACCAATCAAATTAAAACAACAAATCTCTCTGAACACAAGACTGGAAAAATAATTGTGTCATTTTTCTTTTTTGGTGATACTTTCTTTTCAATGTGATGATGCTTTAATTATATTTTACCACAATAACATATGCCAGTGGTATCATCCCAGCTGCAATCAGAATCCAGTACAAAGAACGAGGCAGCCTATGTATTTAGGCTAAGTTGAATATATGAAAGGAGAGGAAAGATAATCTCCCATTCTGTGTGTATAATATCTTTCCCTGTATGTATTGTGGCAATGCTCAGAGAACCTTTATGATTTCATTTTCTTTGTATTTCTCCCACGAGAATTGCATCCTCAACCATCCTATGGGATAATAATACTTATCAAAGGAAAGGGATC